TCCCTTTTTAAAAAAGCATTTACCTTAGATAACTTATCATCAGGTATGTTTGCAAATTACAATACTGAAATATCCATCCAGATGCCCTGAAAGGTAAGTGCTGTGTATTTATACAGTACATCTGTACAGCTAAATATATATTTATAGGTGCTACAGCACAAACCACTGACCTATCCAGCAGTAATTCACTTCTGAGGTGAACACAGGCAGCGAATGCAGAAAGGACTGAACCTGCTTTTATGGTTTATGTAAAACAAATAATATTTGGTGCTGACAGACGGAATGGAGTGCTCAGGGCTGGGTGAGGAGGAACGAGAGCACAGCAGAGGAGAGAACACCGAGTGCAGAGGGCATAACTCTGCAGCACACACACGGGGTTTGGAGGATGAGCAATACAACAAACTAATTATGTTCCAGGACAAACAGTGCCTGAGCAGGAGGAGTGCCTCGAGCCCAGCTCTGGGTACATGAGCCCAACTTACATCACGCTCCTGCAGTGAGTAATTGAGCCCCCTCCCACTGAGCTGTCTAACTCTGGTCATCTCTGCACGCACTTGCTGCCCTCCTGCAGTCCCAGGGACTCCCACTCCACTCAAAGCTGCGGACAGTGGGGTATTTTTGCATTTATTTACACGCAGTTAAAAGCCCAGTGGCATTCACAGTTCGAAATGTAGGGGCTCGTCACATTCTTAACATTTAAAAAAAAAAAAAGGAAATTCTAGATTTGGTTTTGTTGCCTGATGGGAATAGAATTTATTACCGAGTCCAAACAGATGAAAATGAAACTGAAAATTTTACATCAATCCCAAATGTTAAAATGTTATTCTGCAAAATAATACGATTGTTTTACCCCTTTATCTCTTCTTAGAATGCTTTAGGAAGTTTCACCTGATTGGAAAATGGCTTTTTTTTTTTTTTGAGTTGGGCATATATCTGTCAGGAGGCACTGAAACACAGCTAAGAGGCTGCAAAGAAATGGGCTGTGTAAATTCTTGCATTAGGGTCACAGTGGTACCCCTTGCTTTGGGGCCTGGAAAATAGGTGAGAACTCACTGTGTGAAGTGGTTGGTTGTCAGCCAGAAGGTTCTCTTGGATTTGTAAATATTTCATGTGCTCTCTCTGCATTCCATGTGACACACATTGAGGAAAGGATGGAAGAGATTGTTTTTCATGGCCTTGCCTGACAGCTTGCTACAGAAAAGTTCATTTCCAAACAGCTATCCCTGTGTTGCCTTTAAGACCAACAGGTAAGGTGACACTTTATCCAGGTGCTAGTACATTTTGTGTGCTAAAGCACTTAAAACCAGACAGAAGCCATTTTAAAAACAAATAATTCCTACATCTGGGCCCCTGCACTTCCCTCTGTGGGAGAAATGAAACAATGGTGTTTTCATGGGGGAATAGAGAGATTTAATGGAGCTATCAGCTATCTTCAGATTGCTGCCATTTCTCCACAGGAATTTCAGGGCTCCTCCAACTGTGATTTTTTTCTGGGTGCCCTTTTAAAGCTTTTAACCAAGATAACCAGAATAACCCACTGGCTCTTAGGTTTTTGTAATAAAACATAGGAGAATGGGGGCCATGCTGTTTAAAGCAAGTAAGTAAAGAGAAATGAAAACTAGAAGAAAAAAATGCCAAAAATTCACACTGTGAATCTCACAGGATTCTTTCTTTTGCTGTTGAAATTTTGGTTTTGCTCAACAGTTTTAAATAGTTGCTTGATTTCCAGGCTTCAGAATTCCAGAGAATAGTCCATTAGATTTCTTGCATTTACTATGTGGGAAACAATGACTTGCATATACACCATTTCCAGTGACCTCATATTTGTGGCTTGTCAGTGTCTCTCCCAAGGACTGGATGACTTTATGTCCAAATTTTTGGAGCCTCCTCCAGTCTGGAGTGTACTGAGCTTTTTTAATGTGCCTGTGTGTGACTAAGTAGGGTATCTGTTGACATGTGTGGATGTGATAGTTACGAATTCCCATTAAACTCAGCAGGATTTAGCAGCTCTGGAAACAAATTATAACTGTTCGTGCAGAGCACTCAAAAATCCAGATGCCCCAAGAACATGAGCTACTGAAGGTGGGTGAAGTTCTGAAGTTCCAGGGCTGCTAAAAGCTGCACCTCAGCACTTTCCACGACCGCCTGAAGAGGGGTCGTGGCAAGGTAGGGCTGGGTCTCTTCTCCCACGTAACGAGCGACAGGACGAGAGGAAATGGCCTCAAGCTGTGCCAGAGGGGGTTCAGACTGGATATTGGGAAAAATTTCTTCAGCAGAAGGGTTGTCAAGCGCTGGACCAGGCTGCCTAAGGAAGTGGTTTTGTCACCGTCCCGGGGCGTTTTCGTAAGACGTGGAGATGTGGCACTCGGGACGTGTCTCAGGGGTGGATGTGGCAGTACTGGGTTAAGGGTTGAACTCAATGATCTGAAAGGTCTTTTTCCAACCTAAATGATTGTATAATTCCTATTGTCCTTGGCTGCCTGTTTTTTTGGGTTTGTTTTGCTTTTCTTTTTCAGATACTTAGCATGTTTTTAAAGACGTCTCTACGTTGAAGTAAATATCTCAACTGACTTGAAATAAGAAGGCTGATAAGCTTAAATCCAAAGAATAAGAATTAATAAGATGTTACATTGGGGAAAAGTCCTGAAATCCGTTCTTGGTGTGCTGTGTTGCCTATTTTTTAGTAAGTAAAATGTTCTCTTCATGGTTTTCTTTGTTTACATAGGAGAAGAGCACTGCCCAAGGAAATGCAGGAGGGTTTGTTTAGAGGAAAAGCAGCTCTCTAACTACTCATATGATAGTGTGAATGATTTAGTGCAGAATGGAATTATCTGGTGAAAGGTAAATGCATTGGAAATCACTGCCTGCAAGCTCAGCTCCCATGAAAATACCTGGGAATGACACACCTAGAAACAAAAGAAAATAGAAACTGGCTTTGTCACCATAAAAATGGGTAGCTGGCAACACAAACAGCATTTGGAGCTGTCTTACCAACAAATCCCACACCATTTTCCCTCTTGCCTGCTGCTTATCTGCAAGGCTGGGCTCTCAGCTCTGCTGACTCCAGCCAGAATCTCGAACAATGGGAAAGCAGTGACAAATTCAGCCACTTACTGCAACTGCCAGGGCCACAGCAGCAGAAGGAAAGGACAAAGCAAAGCAAAAAAAAAAAAAAAAAAAAAAAACAAAAAAAAAGAGCTGGTGCTAACAACAATGACATCTTCAGCTATCTGACATAGTCTAGAGCCTGGGCTCTGCTGCTCTGCCTGCCAGGATGCTGATGGTAAGCTGGCACCCAGATGCTGCAGTGATGGGCAATAAATAAATAACATTGTTTTGTTCACAATGAAGATGAGTCAGGACGCTCAAGAGACGGGGGATGATTCACATTCAGCCCTCAGAACTCCATCAGATGTAAGTTATTTTGCTTGCCCTCAGGAATTCAGTCACTGGGACTGGGAAGCAGATAGTCATTACTGTGTTACTGCGGTGCCTGGCTACTTATATGTTAATTTACAGCTGTTCCATGTTCCGGGAAGCTGTTACTTATTCCTCAGGTGGCTGTAGTGAGGGCAGTGTGAGAAGCTGCATATCCTAAGATGTGTGCCTGGTGGAATGAATCCTTCTGCCATTGCCAGCCATGTGGAAGTGAACACCACGAGGCAAAGCAGATGAATTGCAGCCTGGCTTGTCCTCTGCTGCAAGTGCCTTGCTGGGGAAATATCACCACGATTTTTCTCAGTCCAGAACCTCCTATTTGAATCCCTTTGACATAACTTGGTGCCTTTTTTTTTCTGACAGAATGTCAAGGTCCCAAGCTATGCTTGTTCTTCTCATTGCAAGAGAATCACTCACACGGTAGAAAAATTAAACAACTCTTACTCTGAGAGCAACTAGGAAAGAGTTTCTAGGAAAGAGCTTCTCTGTGGGGTGTCTCTGCTCCTTTTCCTTACCTGGGAGGATTTGAAGGCCGGGTTCTATGGGTAAAAGAACATTTTTACGTGGCCACACTGCATTGTTTAAAAGCTCTTATTTCCTGGTTTTATTACAGCCTTGGCAATTGTGATCAGAAGCAAATGTGTGATTTGAGAAGGCCAGTTCAGGGGTACAGTTGCTGTCTGGCACAGTCTTCTGTTCTCTGCAAACCTTCCCAGCCATGAACACCCAGCCCTGTGCAGAGTGGGATCCAGATGGATGTTTTTGCTGAGTCTGGGATTTTGTTTACAAATCTTTCTACTCTAAAAAAATAATTAAAAAAATGCCCACATACAGAATTGCCTTTGAGTTTCATATTTATTTAACATTTATAAATATTCATATTTAATCTGAATATTAATATTTATTTATTTATTTAATGTCCTAAAGGCAGAGATGCTTTATTTTCCTGCTAGATTTGAACTTCATTTTAACCTTTTCCATTCCTTGGTTTTATTGGTCCTTTGAATATGGGTTTTGACTAATGCTGACTAATATTTTTCAGCTGAATTTCGTGGCATGTTTCCTAATGAAAAGAGCCTCCTTCTGCTTCACTGCTTTGCATTTGTGCATTACAACACAACAGTGCAGGAGGATTATGTCCATCAAACAACAGTAAAACATATTTAAAGGACAGACTTCTCCAGTGCTCTGCAAGCTCCTGGAATAAACTTTGTGATACAGCGTAGAGGAGACAAATTTAGGACACTTTTGACTAAATTTTAGATAGAAGATTTTTTTTTTGGTCTCTACTTGGGATGATGCTCAGGACGGTGTGTCAGGAAAGAAGTGTGATTCCAGCTCCATGCAGCTGAGTATTTACAGGAAAAAATTGTTCTGCATTATGTACCAGTGTATCCTGTGCTTTGCCATCCAGTAGCCATAAATGAGCGCTAAAATATCCTTCTTTTTAGATGCATTTAAATGTAACCTCTCTGTTACTCTATTTCAGCATTTTTTCCTGGGGTCTAACTTTATATCACAGCCATAAATGTTACTCCTGCCAAGTCCCACTTCATTCCCAGGAGCTGTCCCTTGGTTCCCAATTTTGAGGTCATGCTTGTGTGGTCAGTCTCCATCACCTCCACCATCAGCCCTGGAGAGCAGTGCAGTGAGAAGTCAATCACCCACCGCCACCACGGCGTAGAGGAACGAGCAGTTACCACATCAGCAGGTGGGTACATGTTCAGGAACGCTCTGGAAGCTGTAAGACAATCACAGGCTGTTTCTCCAGGGTTGGTTTGTTTGTTTCTCCTGTGTCTGTTCAACACATATTTTTGAAATACTTGTCCTTGCCAGTTCTTCACGGTTGTTGGGTGTGCAAACGATGCCACTGGAGTCAGTTGATATCGGATTTCTTTGCACTGTGCTCCCTGTTCCTCTTTGGAATTCTGCAAGAATAATGCACCCTTTCTTAACTGTCTGTTGGCACTGCTTACTGATACCTGCACAGGAAGGTTTCCTGGTCCAAAGATACGTTCTGTGCTGGCTGGCTGATCCAGCCCACTGACCTGTGTAAATAAAGGTCATTTCTCCAAAAAGCCAGCCATGCTCATTTCTCAGTCAAGATCTGGAGAAAGTGGTCAGTACAGACATTTGATTTCCATGCAGGTTGATTTTTTTTTTAGGAATTTGGTTTGGTAATAGCGACCAGTGAGTGACTTCCTAATTTAAATTTATTTGGGTTTTGTTTTCCATTCGTTCAGCTGCAAAGTTGGTTGGTATACCATCTATCTACAGCTTGCATTGACATTGGACTGCGTTTGCTCCTTGATAAACCACACCAGCAGCACTAATCCTTCTGGATCCTTGATGTGTCCTGGCATTGGATTTAGCAGTTGGGGAAGGACTTTTTTTTATATTGGAAGTAAATGACATATGGCCTCTACCTTTTCTGTTCTGCCTTAAAGGAAAGTGATGCACACACGGTTGTATCTCGCAGAGAATGAAGAAAATGGCTGGAGAAAGGTCAAATTTGTGACTGTTGTACGTTGTGAAATGTACATTGTGAAACTAATGAAAAACTTATGAAATTGGTTTCTACTGAGCAGAGGAAAAGCAGAATCTGGCCCATGGGGAGAAGCTGTAAGTATGGAACATGAACAGCACAATAGCTCTATTTACACAAAGGCTCAGTAAAACAAGCTGTGTTATTTTAGCCGAGTCTGCCCGATTTACCATCCAAACACAACGTTAATGATACATAACTGGCACCCAATCAGTACCACTCGAGTGGAATGCTGTTGTGCAATGCTCTGTTCCCAGAGCAGTTCCCTTCCACGGGGCATTTCCAGCCAGGTCTGTCAGGGAGCTGCGCTCCCAGACGTGCTGGTGGAAGGTGTGGGACAGTCCTGTGCTGTAGTGACAAAAAAAATTAGGATCTATTAATATAAAATGCTTCATCCTCTGACAGTATTTTTCTCCTGCATTTCTTCATTGTTTGTTTTGCAGTTGTATTTCTTCATTTTCTTCCGCTCCTTGTACTCTTGTGGTGCCATACTGATGGCATCCTTTACTATGACCATGGCATTCTCTGGGATATTTTGAATTTGTCAGTATAGTTTGCTGACATGATTAACATGTTAAAAACCCCTCTTGTTTACTCAAGCTGATGCAAGGAACAACCCTGACTCTGTGAAAAGGCTGCATGCTCACTGGCACTTGTGAGGCCATCATTCCTCCCTTTTTTTCTGATGTAACTGGTTTCCAGAGGTTGGCAGGCCTTTGAAAAGATGGAGGTTTGAAAAAAAAAAAAAAACAAAACCAGAGCTGCTTGGTGGAGATAGGCTGCAACTCTGCTCTTTATAGCTCAATAATTCAGTTTAAAGTATCTTAGAATTAGCAAGCTCAGAACTAATTTGGTCATGACTGGGATATCTTTAGGAGGCAGCTGTTTGTGCTGAGTCATTATGGAGCTGCCTGTGGTCCTCCCAAGCTCCATTTTCTGTCATTTTTCCATTAACTGAGACCAGACATACATTTCAGGTTGGTTTGGTTTGTGCAGTTCTGAGGCAGGCCTGGGAGCCCCAGTCTGTCCTTTTGTACCACTGAGGTCTGGAAAGTTGACAGGTCCCCCTGATGGGAGTAACAGGTACTTACCACAATAAATAACCAAAATAATTTGCCCTAAACCATGTTTTTCCTCATCTCAGTCTGGGATCTGTGGGTAAGGGAGAGGAACGAGGACACCACTTCAAATCAGGCTGTGGACCACATTAGAGATTTCAGAGCTGCAAATGGCTCTTTTGTTGTCCCCATTTCATCCCAAGCTGGGTGCAGCACTTCCTGCAGCTGTGTTTGGGTGGCTTTAATGCCATCAGCATCAGCTGTGATTACTGGAAACAAAGTGGTTGAGCCTGCTGTGCCACAAAGCCATTCTGTGACTGATTAGAGACCTGTGGAAAAGTTGCAGGCAACACCTGGACGGTCTGAAGTAGTGAAAGTTGCGCTACAGACTGTTTAATTTCTAGTATTCAAGGTACATCAACCTTATTTCCATGCTGAAGGCACAGCCCCTGACATCACTGTGGCCAGTGAGCCTCCTGGGTGTGCACTGCGAGGAGCCCCACGGCACAATCTGCTAAATTCACACACATTTATACATTAAAATCAGTGTAATCTCTGCAGGACTACCTGAGTGGTACTTTAAAATAGATAATGCTTCAAATCAAGTGCCACTTTGATATCGAAACGCTGCTTCTGTTTGACGTGAAAATTCGTAGAAGTCTCTCCCGGAGCCTTAAAATTAAAGAGGAAATTCATCAGTAAAGCCTTCATTCCATACTGAGATGAATTCAACTTCTCCTTCTTTAAGTTTGAAATTAATAGCAAGTCTGCTTTCTGCTTTTTCAGTGTGATGTGCTGCAGTAACAGCTTGACAGAGAGTGTGGACTGTTTATTCCTTGGGAGCATCTCCAGCTGCTGTGTCAAAGTTCTGGTCCTCCACTGGTAGAACTTTTTCCAACCATATAAACCACAATTATCCCCTGAGGAATGACACTGCAAATATGTTTATTTCATGTCCTTGATCATTATTCCACATATTTTGCCCAGTTCAAAAGGGCAAAGATGTCCTTTTCTGAACAGCTGGTGTCACTGCTGGGCTCAAACGTCTGGATCTGGAGTTCTCTCCACGTGCCATCAGCATCCATGGTCTGTCTGGGGGATGTTGGAGATGTTTTCTTGGTGGAGACATCAAATGGTTCAGGTAGGTTATGCATTTTTAAATACCTGAGTTTACATCCACTGAAATAAGTACAATTAACAGGTTATAGGACTGTAGCATGTATTGGAAATATTTTCAGCCTGTGTCTTCCTAAAGAAATTCTGGCATTGTTTGTGCAACACCTCTCTTTGAGTGAGTTCTGCATCTCCCACAGGTTGGGATAGAGCAGAGCTTTGTATCTCAAGCCCCTGTTTCCTACTAACTTTTTGTGATATTTAAAGACCTTTAGCTGTGTTTTATTTATTTAACTTTTATTTATTTAACTTTATTGCTGTTAAATTTATTACTAGAGAAAGTGATTAACTGGAAAGAAACACAATTTCTGGGTCTTGAAGTTAAATGTCGGTTTTGGGAAAGCTTCCAGATAAGATGGAAGAGAATTAATAGCTGATAGAGGAGACTTTATGTCTGTGTAAAATATTCCTTTGCCTGTTACCCTAATTCCTCCAGGTTATTCTCTGTATCTTTGCTCTTTTTGGTATCCAGAGGCTTTTCCACAGATACAGCCATTTTATTTGTGCTTGTGCAGCACTGACTGTAGCCCTGTTTGTCATTTCTGCCAAACCTGTGTGCAGCAGGTTCCCCAGCAGCAACATCAGGGTTTAGTTCATATACTGCATTTTACAGCTTCATGAATTAAATAAAAATGTCCTGATCAAATGGGCTGTAAGCCTGGCAGGAAGGATATAGGCAACCTGTGTTTATGCACTGCCAAACACAAGCATCTCTACTACTGATTAGAGTAGCACCTTTGGGCACCAACTTACCATAAATATTTGATAGCAGCAAGAAAACTGACTCCATCGTATTGCAGGCACACTAAAAAGGTAGCTTTGAAATACTTCTGGCATTGATCAGTTCTTCTGAACTGCTCCATAATTATTCCAATGGTTCTGTGCACTGAATGGTGTCAACTGACCAGTCCTGCTGATTTTGGGTGCAAAAAGGTGTGTCAGGTGGCCACACGTGCCGACATTTAACTGGGGGCATTGCTATCTCAGATAACTACCAAGGTACCAAATACTCAGATATTTCTGGGTTAGTCAGGGCTACCTGCTGGGTGCATGGTGGACCATATATTGCTGAAGGCTAAGTGGGAAATAATCTGCAACTTAAGCATGAAAATGTATGTTCTACCCCTATATTGTGAAATTCCAGCTGCAGACAGGGCAGACTCCTCACAGGAATTATCACAGAATCTCAAGAAACCACAGCGTCACTGCAGTATTTTTTTTTTTTTTTTTAAATCTGTTCTGCTGTTTATCAAACAACTGCCAAGAAGTAGGAGGCTCTCATCTTGATTTTTCAATGAAATGAAGAAAAACAGTTTTGTGTACATCTTCCTGAACACTTTCTGAAACACTCCAGCTGGCATGGTAATTTCTGAGCTGTTCGGCTCGCCCGACATTCAGCTGCTGAATTGTTTGTCAGCTGTATTCCTTGCATTCATTGTGTTCTGCTCTCCTAAATGAAACAGCTGTGAATGTATTTACGGCCTGAGAAAGCTGGAGCAGTGGTAGAAATCTGCAGTCTTAGTCACTGCTCGTCAGCTGACGTAAAAGCAAAACCAATGGGGAGCATGTGCTTATTCTCCCTCTAGCCTTTAACTCTGCCCACGTGTTGCTTTTTAATTTGGATGGATCAGAGAAGTCAGCATTCAAGGCTTCTGATAATTCAGGTTTCTGAGGGCACATTAAATCCCAAACATCATAAGGACAGATAGGTGGAGACTTCAGAAAATACAACTGCAAGTTCATGGAAGTGGGGAAATAATTTTAAAAAGCAAAAACAAGGATCACAAGTTAACTACTGATGAGTCTGAAATGAAAAAAAAAATTAATGTGTAACGTTTTCAAGTGTCCCAAAATTCTGTTGCCACAAGCAGGCCTTCCCAGAGATCCTTGTACAAACACACTGAAGTTGCTTCTGAAACTTTAGTGACGACAGAGAAAACGTTCCTGGGTCTGTATTTATCTAGAGAATTCCCTTTCTTACCACAAAGTCATAAATGTCTTTAGAATACTTTATTCCTGTGTTTGGTTTAGAAAACAGCTCCTAATTGACAGCAATTATCTCAGAGCGTAACCAAAAGATGGCAGCAGTCCAATATGTTTTCTCTAACGAGTAGGCAGGAGACAGTTTATTTACTGTTTTATGAGCTCTCCTGTGTTATGAGAAGGGAAAGACGCTATGGGTCCCATTTCCTGTCGGAAAGGAAGTGATCCAAACAATTTGAGAGGTAAAAAGTGCTTCACAGTTTTTGTGTAAATGTTAGAGGACAAACCACACTGAGACGAGGCACTTGTCGGACCAAGGAGAAATCTCTTCATTGAAACACTTCCATGCTGGACAATTCCCAGATGGGACTTCACCCTAGAGTGACAAAAAAATCCCCCCCAAAAAAAGAATTAGCTTCCCATAACCTGAGGAAGCGGAGGGATAACCAGAAAGACTGGCTGAGGTGTTTCTTTACCCTTTAAGCAACCAACCTGTCCTTATTTCTGGGGTGGGATCTTAAAACCTGTGTGCTTCAACCTCCCTGGGGGTGTTCACAGGGGGAACAAGACAAGATTAATGGAATGGTCTCCTCGGGCCTTCCCGAAGCCCTGTGAGGTCAGGGAAAAGGTTCCCAGTGACTCCAGTGGTGTGTGAATCAGCTGCTGTCTGGGGATGTGCCAGCAGGGCCTGCAGTTGTGCAATGTGCTAATCTGCACCTTCTGCTGGGCTTGGATTATCAGTGCAGACAGAGGTGATAACAGAACAGAAGCTACAAAGAGAGTCTGGGGGGGAAAAATGGGGAATTAACTGTTTATTGGGCTCACAGCGCAGAGAAATCCCCCAACAATAAAACCTCAAATAACCAAGCCCTTCAACAACGAAGCCCCCACCCCCAAGCATTCTCAAGTTCAAACACCTCACAAATCACAGCACACAACATCTTCCAAAACAGAAAATCCCTTAGGAGGAGGTTTCTCATAATCACAAATTTCCTTACAGGAGATGATTGCCCAACAGCTCTGAAGCAACATTTCCATTATGAGCACAGCCAGCACAAAACCCTGCAGTGTTCCAGGGTGCATTCACTTGCTGCTGCAGATGAGTGAGGTTGTTCCTTTGTAGGGTGAATAGGAATTAGGAACGGGATCCTAATGACTGATCTCCACGCTTGTGATGGTGCATTATCACCCTGTAAATGATTTTCAGATGTTTCAGCAGGCACTAACGCCCTGATATTCAACCAGTGTGATACACTTCGGGCAGCTGAAGGCTGTCCTGCTCAGGGGCCATCATTTATTTTGTGAAAATCCCTTTTCCTTTGACTTAGCATTTATTTTTGGGAGCTCAAGGTTCCAGGCTGAAGTTTGTTTGCCACTGTGTGATATCTGACTCATAGACTTTTGCCTCCTGAACAGAAAGCAGATTGTCCAAAGCAGGCAGGGCGAGTGGGACTTGCTTTTTGCTCCAGAAGGTTTAAAAAGTAAAGCTATGGGAGGAAAGGGTCAAAAATAGCTGAAATGTAATGGAAAATCAACCAGATTTTTAAAACCTTTGCCTTTTCTTTGTGCCTTTTGACTTACCCTGCTATTAGATAATTCTGATTATACGACTCTGAAGTGCTACTGAATTTTATTTCAGAGGGGGGAACATGAATTAATGCTGTTTAACCTCTTGCAGAAATTCGAGTTCTTTCCTTCATGTCCCTGCTGGTTTTTCTTTAGGCAACTGCTACCCATGGCTGTGTGGTAATTAATTTATATGTTGAAATTCAAGGCTTTCCTTCTCAAGAAAAAGCTTTTCTTCTCAAGAAAAGGAAGAGGAGCAGTCCCATAGTTATCCTAAAGCTTAAAGATTATTTAACTTTATTTTTTTCAGGAGGTGTTTCAACGTGAACATCCAGATTTTTTTTTTTTTTTTTAAAAGCAAAAAGAAAAAAAATATTTAGAAATTTAAATAACTTCAGAGGAAATCTGGACTATCACATTGGTCTACATTAAACCCCAACAGAATTAAAGAGGTATGTGAATTTTAATTTAATATTTTTGAATGAACTTTTTCAGGTGAACAATTTAGTTCTCAAAATACACTGTTTCAGGCAATATGAGATGAAGAAAAACATGTCCTAGGACAATTGCTGAACAGGATTTGTTCTCATGGTGTCCTGTTCCACTGCTCTGGTCTACCTGGGGGATGAAGACCCAGAGGGAAATTCCTTCTTGGGAGTGAGCAGGGCAGTGTTAATGCTCAAGCGTCCCACGTTTTTGGGATGGTTTTTCAACAGGAAAAGGTGATGTTCCTCATTTCACGTGATCAGGGAGCAAGATTGTCACTCCAAAGCTGAGGAGAGGAGACTGCCTGGCCTTGGAATGCCTGCAGGTCCTCTGCAACCCCAGAGCCACGGGATCACCACCCTTGGTGACACAGGGCCAGGGTTTTGCTTTGCCTTGACTGTTTTCTGACTCTGGCCTGCTGGCATTATTGAGTGTGTCTGATTTATTCCTGCCTGAATGAAATGTTTTGTTTAATCTCAAACGATCTGTCTTAATTGGCTGAGTATGTGGAAACATTTCAGGTTGGGACAGACCCAAAACAATAACCACTAACTTGTGGGATTTTTTTTTTTTTTTTTGGCTACTGAACCAAAAAAAAAAATCAATTATTTACATGGTTTCTGTTTTAACATCAGCTGCAGAGGAACTCAGTAGGATTGTGCCTTTATTTGAACCTGAAAATCAATGTGAAACATGATCAAAATCAAAGCAGGCTCAGAGGAGCAACCAGGATAGAGAAGAGAGGGTATTTCGCTGGTTTAGATGTATTTCTTTCTTTCTTTCTTTCTGACACACTTGAATTCAAACTGAATTCGTGTTGGAATCTCTTTAAAGTTGACATTATTCTGGAATTCACGGTTTCCTTTGACTGTGTATAGAAGCAGAACCAGAAGGTCAGCTCTGGACATTGAACCTGGTCTTTTTTTAGCTGATGCACTCACTGTGTTTCAGGATAATGTTCACTTGTCACTAAATAATGTGAGCAGCAGGTTTAGATCAGGACACTATGATAGGTTTTTAACTTGTTAAAAGGCAGTGGTTTTTTTTTGGACCAGGGCTTCAGATTTTAAGTCAGCACCAGAGTTACAACTTCCAACCAGTGGGAGCTTCCTCATCTTCAACTGCACTTTCCAGATCAGGTCCATCTCTGGTGGAGGGAAAACACGATGGGGAGAGAGGAGAAAAAGAATGAAAGACAGACAAATAATATTTTGTGCTTGTCTTACAACACTGTAGGAGAGAACAGGAATGGAAATGATGCTGTTAGAAACTGTCCAACACAAATATGGTTCAGGGAGATGAATGAGAGTTGTGGCTTTGTCTTGTTGCAGCAAAGAGTCCGAGGCCTGATGGGAAACCCTCGTTGCCTCTCCTGGAGAGCCAAGCACAGGCTGTGGTTTCTTCTGCCCCTTATGGTGCATTCACTCCAGAAGTGGTTGAATCTCAGCTGGAACACAGGAATTAAAAAAAAATTCCATTCTTCCTTGTCCAAGCACAAATTAAAGAGCTGTAGTTTGCTTTATCTGCACTGGAGAGATGGAATAGCTTACTTAGGTGCTGATTATGAATGTACTCGCCCTCTCATATGAAGAACGTGAAGTAAAGTTAGAAGGTGACGTTTTGGTAAATGATCAATATTATTAATATTATTATGTTATAGATTTTACTTTTTAATTTTTTTTATTATTATTTTAGTGGATGTTGCATGTCTTTTGAAAAAGCTACACTGAAAAGCTTACCAGTCTCAATTACACTTTCTGGGAAAGCTTTCATTAAAAAAAAAAAAGAAAAAAAAAAGAAACTGGTTGTGCATGCACTTCTTAGTCTGTAAGACAGGAGGTCCTGATGCAGCATTATCCACTCTCCATCCTTCCCATTCCCATTCTTTTGCTACAAAGTGCTGCTGCACTATTATACTGGAGGCATGGTGAGAAGAATCTACAACTTCTTTTTCTCCTCCCAAACTGCCTGCAAACTAAATCCCCACTTAAGCTTTACATTGTGAGCTATTTCTTACAGAGAAAAGGTTATTTTAAGAGCTTGAGTCGGTAATTTCTCTCCAATTTTGTTTCTGTGAGTGTCTCCTCTGAAAACAGGTATCCTTAAAAAAAGGAAAGAAGTGAAAGGCTGGCTCACCAAATGCCACACACCTCACTCTACATGCTCTAGATGTAGATATATTTACTTTCTCCAATTCTCTCCATCTTGGTAGATGAGATATCACCATGCAAGGAGAGTCAGGGAAAAGGAATGATTAGGGAAAAGCTGGGTCAGTCATTTGTGAAGTTGTGGTGTTTCCTCCCTCCCTTGATCTCAAAATGGTAAGAATGCCAACAAGATTTGGGATAGGAGAGCAGCATAAGGGCCTCCATTTGATTACTGCCCTCTGGTCTTCAGTTGCCAATAACCTTCACTAGTATTACTGCTACCTAAAAACTTTGTTGGTATTTTTACAGCAAGGGCTGGACTGAGTTCCCTTCTCTCCAGGTGACCAGAGTAGGTTCAGTATCACTGGCAAGGCAATATAGTAATACCAACTCGTCACCTTTTACTCACTTAGAATTTCCTCAGTTCTATTTCCCAAACTTTCCACTCCCAAAGTAAATTACAGGATTAGTTTATTTATTTTTTTTCCTACAGTCATGGTACAATAACTCAGTGAAGTCCATCAATCTCTGCTTTATTCCCTGTTTTCACTGTTAAACAAAAGTGAAATCATGACTAGTTGGCCAAACGTGATACAGTGGGAATAAATATGGGATATTTTTTCAGAGTGTCTTTTGTTTAAGTGCTCCAATATTATTTTTCATAAAAGTCAAGAGAATAATTTATTATATTCTATCACGACTATTCCATCTCGTGAGTGGGTTTTATTTTTAGTGCACGAAACAGGAAACAGCATAAATTTCCAACTTCATAGTTTGTCCAAGTATGTGCTGCCTAAACCAGGCAATAGCTTAAAGGATGAGCCATATAAATGATTACCTAGAACTTTTAATTAAATTTGGATAGTTCATGATTAAGCTGGACAGGGTGCTGGGCCATCTTGCCCTCTTACACTGTGTTTTTACCAAGAAATGTTGGATGAGATGATACTTAAAATCCTTTCCAATCCACTGTTCTATGGTTGGACTATTAACCAGTGGCCTGAGTCATCACTTTGTGCAGTAGTTCTGAACTCCACTGGCAGTAACCAAATGTACAGACTTTGATACTTGGCTAACAGATCTAACAGACACTTTGAAGCTGGGATTAAGAATGTGACAACCCCCCAAAAAACTAGTCATACATGGACATGGATCAAAGTCTGGAACAGAACAAAATATGTGTCTCTCAAGTCTGGATTTCCATCAGCTTTTGGTTTGGTGTTTTTTCTTGTTTTTACCAAATAGGTGTTGGAGAATCTGTGTTTTATTTCCCTCGTAATCTCCCACTGAAAGAAGCCAAGTTTATAAAGAACAGCCTGACATGTGGTTACAATGAAAATATTTTTCTTTTTTTTTTTTAAATCAACAGTCTGGTTTTCAATCGTTCGAATTATCAAAGTTCCTTTGATTTCTCTCAAAGAATACTTCTGAAATTGTAAGTTACACTGGATATTTCTTCCACCTTCCCTTAATGTTGACACTTTATAGGAATTTTTTTTATGTTATAAAATGTTCTCTATTTATTAATAGCATATATATGGTTAAGAGTGTTTAAAAGAAATAGCTCTAAAGGCAAAAATTCTGTGGTTTACATTCTATCATGAAAGAAGGTGTCAATGATGGCTCTTGGTTCAGGGATGGAGGCAAACTCATGCAACAGGTGGGGGATGAGGCAGTTCAGATTTAGAGAGAAGAGAGGAAAGACAAAAAGAGATTTTTGGGGTGAAAGAAAGGACAAGAAAGGCATGTGCTAAATTGTTAAAGGTTTGGTCATACATGAAAACTGCAGATATACAATCTGAATAAGAACAGCTCAGCTGGGCTGATGAACACGGAGCTCTTTTGGGCTGGGCTTCATTTTCCTCCATCTGTTAACCAGGAAACAGGTCTGACTTCATTTTACACGTGAGGATCAGAAGCAAAGAGGGATTTATTTAAGGTCATCCAGGAAGTCTACAGCAGAACAGAGAACTAAATCAGGAATTTCTGAGTTCCAGACCAGTACACTAACCATGGGACAGCTCATTTCCTCTCTGTAGGAGACTCTGCTGCCAAACTGCATTAGAATAGAAATTGCAAAAGTCTCTCTTGTTTACATTTCTTTAAAACAAACCTTCATTAGGACTTGATTCAATACATCACAAATACATTATCAAGATTACCATGAGATGTTTATAAATCCCTAAATCCCAGTGACAGGATTGGCTGGTGATGTAAATGAAAATGAGACCAAGATTCAGGAAAAAAGCAAGTAAGAGTTAGCTGAGGAGAAGAGGAAGGTTATTTGCCGGTGTAAAGAAAAAAGATTTGAAAAAAAAACAAACTCTGAGAAGCTTTTCTCAGTTGGGAAGAACTTGTTTGTGTGATTGAATATGTCAGGATAATTTAAAAGCTCATTTATTATGAAATAGAATCCGCCTGTTTGAATGCTGCGTCTCAACAGATCCCCCGAGGCTGTTTACATAAAAGCAGACAATCTGCCAATGTTCAGAATTTTACTCACTTCCTTCATTTCCCAGTTCTTTCTTAAGAAAGGGGGGGGGGGGAAGGAAAAAGTAAAAAAACTTTTGTGCAATGTTCTTAAACTTACAGAGATCGTACTGTTGCAAGAGCCAAGTGTCGCCCCGCTGCCGTCGTCCACAGAGGATGTTGCTCAAGTCCTATATGGAAACAAACTGTGCTTTCAAACCAAATGAAATAAATCTCTTCATGCTGAGTGTTATGGATTTTTTTTACTGGATTGTTAAGTGTTGTTTAACACCTTGAATACACCGTGTTGATGCTCTTCATTTGCAGAGTTGACAGTTGACAAACAGCTCCTGGATGCGAGTCAGGACATGGTTTTGGTGACTGCACAGACACAATCTGTATCGACCTCCCTTTTTTCCTTAGGTACTCCAGTTATCATCAGATTAAATTCTACTTTCCCCCTCACTTTTAAATGAAGATTTTCTGAGCTGCACTAAATTTTGGTCTACATATCCCCAGCGTTATTCCTTCCACGGCTTTTGCTCCCTGACAGACCTGCAGACTGCTCTGCCTTTCGCCTGGGAGTGAACAGCCACTCATTCATCTGGCTGAGTACAATCCTGCTGAAGTCAATGGGTGTTCTGTCTTTCACTTCCAAGACTCTTGACTTGCAGCCTGTGCCTCAAACGAGCGTCAGGAAGTTCCCAGTGACAGCAGCCAAAGCCGTGGATTGGATTAAATGTGCCTGCAAAGCCGGTGATTCAGCTCTGCTGACACGATGAGACAGGTGAGTGTGTCTTCTGCATGTCCAGTGGCAGCCACATATACTCGAGTCCAAATGCAGGGCTGCTCATGAACTGGCCCCAGTGGAAGGTAAAACTCTTCATCTGAATTAATTTACACGTTTTCTTGTTCAGCTTTTTGTATTATTCAGCAGCCAAAATCTCGGGATGGAGAATCAGTTGAAAGTACTTCACCCTGGCCTTTCTGCTATTTCATAGCCACGAAAACGTGTGTCTTTTACAAAATAAATGTCTGAATTTCTCCTGCTTCCCAAAAGAACATTAAATGTTTGTTGAATGCCTATCAGGGAAATACAGATATAAAAACTTTTAGACACGCACACATTCCCTTCCACTCAACATTGGAACTTACCCTGCCATTATAAATCTGTATTGGGAAGGGCAGATATGGTGCTTACAGGCACCTTTAGGGCTACAGAGCCTGAGCAGGGAAGAGTGAAGCTGTAGTAATGTTCCCACAATATTCTTCTTCACATGCCCCCCATGCTCCCCCCAAAATAAAATTCCATATACTTCCTGATATCTGTTACTCTAAAATTAAACACCACCCGATTCCCTCCTGTCCTATTAATGCATCCACTTGTTCTTCTCTTCACTCCCTCTTCTCTTCTCTTTGGCAATGATTTTCTTTTCTTGGCCAGGCTTTTCACTCCATATAATGTTTTAATTTATTTATTTATTTTTATTTTTTTTTATTTCAACAGAACATATCACATGGCAACAGTATCTGAGAGCTGTTCTCAAAAATCCTTTAGGAAATGCAGGATGATACATTGGGCCAAGGAATACACTGTTTTGTCTTCTGGCAGGTAAGTGGTGATTATTCTAGACCAGCTGTTTTCCCTGTGTTCCTTATCAACAGTTTTGGTACTCCCACAATTAATCTCCAAGACTAATATAGGCTCCAATACCAGAATATTATTTCTCAATTTTATCCATCATCTTGTTTTACGTGAATCTTGCCAATAATTTACAGTGCTGCTGCATCTGTCAAGGCAACTCTTCTGCTGTGCTTAAAGGGGATAGTTCTGATATCTGATTGGAAATGGTGTGGGAAAAAATAAAACCCGAGACTAAGTCCAGTCTCAATCCTTTTTCTTTTATCACATCTTTCCCTTTATTGTTAACAAGGTCAAAACAGGTGCTCATTGCAAAGATTAATTATCAACCAAGGTGCTGATGTTGTAATTCACAGCCTGTTTTCAGTTGTGGCAGGAGAACCTGTAGAGCAGCACTGGCTCCAAACAGGTTGGGCTGCAAGTGGAAAGCTGCAATTTTGGTTGGCCAGCCAAGCGTCTTCCCACCAGTGATCTTTAGCTCAGTGAGTTCCCCAAAAATGGACCGAAATTTGAGTTCTTGGGCTTGGGAACAGGGAGAATGTGGGCACACACTGCAAACTCTGTTTTGCTAAACAGACAGGATTGATCTCCCTGGAATGGGGTTGACAAATTATTAGCTATTTTTCAAGTGTTTCAAGGATGTCACTGCTTTATCACCATCAACCATGATGACAGCCAGGTCTGTGGTTTACTTGGCCCCTTTGGAAAATGAAACTGCTTTCAAATTTTCTGCCAAGACTGGTTTGGAGATTTTGTGCCTTTTCCTTGGTGCTGTGATGCTGATGGAGAATTGGAGATTGTGCTCAGGTGGAGTAAAAGTGAGGGTTGGCTTGGATTATTTCCTCCTGGAAGAACTCTATTAGTACATCAGTGATTGCCACAGAAACTCCCAGGTAATCCACACCACAAGACAGGCAGTTTGAAGATGATGTATTCATCTTCAGCAGTTGTTTATTCTTTTGGACTCTAAAGAACCTTGATGGGAAAAGAGGCTCCACTGAGGCTGTTATTGAAGACTTTATTCACTCCTCCTCCTCCTTTTTTTTTTTTCTTTAAAGAAATTTTCCTGATCAGAAATAATTTCACAGAAGGCAAACTTCTCATCAGCTCTCAGCAGAATTAGGTACCACTTAAGGAGACAGAAAAGTCAATGGAAGAATGAACTACATTCCAAAAAAAGGCCTCAGTAGCTCTTACATGTACCATTTCTCTGACCATCCAAGAAACTATATAGGTTTCATTTAAAAAAAGAACATTTTTAGCTTTGGATGGGCAATCAGTAAGAGACACACATTATTTTAAAGCAATAATTTAATTTCCATAAGATTCAACCAGCCATTCTAGATCCACTGATTACTTCAGTAGGCAGATGATCATGAGAACCACTAAATATCCACTGGAATAAGCACTGAGGTGGAATCAGGAATCCTTTCATGCCTCAACATTTGACTGTGACCCCAGGAGGGTTAATTCTGTGATCAGTTCAGAACACCAAAGGTCATGCACTATCTGACATTTAATCCAAATTTGAGGGAATAGGATGAGATGTAGACTACTGCTGCTCAGACCTGTTGGAATTACTCTTTTCCAAATTTAATCAGGCCCTCTGCTGAGAGAGTCACAACATCCTGAATGTGATCCAAGTGCTTTGGATCCTTGCAGCCTACGGAGAAGGTTTTGTGTGAAGCATGAGAAAACAAGGGGCACGAAATATAAATGTCAGCTCTAACAGTGGCTTGTTGTAGAAAAATTAGGGCTGTGTTAGAATTTTAATTCCTTCCTGAGTGAATTACTCAGACAAATTCAGGCCCACTGGAAAAAGAAGGCAGAAATTCAATTTCTGATGCAGATATGCTCCTGTCAACATCATACACATGGGACAAATATGTATTAGCAGGAACTTGAGCCTGAAGTAACTATATTTCAGCATAATTGCAAGTAGTATGAGCTGATTTAGGTGTAATATTTCATGAGGAATTGCCCCTTACAGTTTACTAAAGCAGGTAATATATTTTCTACCCCTATTATTTAGATGTGTTTTCTAACCAGGGGAGGTTTTTTGGCATATTGCTTGGTTTAAGCAATTTTTAATATTTCTTTTTTTCCTTCTGATGTTCAAGCCTGAACTCTGTTCCAAAACAAAACCAGAATTGTTTTTTTAGTGTTTACAGTTTTCCCCAGACTCGGTAACTTGTCCTTCCCCTTTGTCTAAGTGGTGAGCAGGAGAACCTGAGCATGGACAGGAGTGGTTAAGAGTTCCCCTGAGCTAGAAAGCAGAAATCTGAAACGTAATTTCTGGGTTTGCTATTAACCAGCTGTGACCACAGGCAGTCAGAATGTTAAAATGCTATTAATTGTTCGCCACTAATTAAAGATTAAAGGAAAAAGAAAAAATCCTTCTCGTGTCTTTACAAGCTGTGGTGTTACCCATGGACTCACAGGCTGCTGAAGAGTTATTCATTCTTTGAAATTCAGAAGTCAGACTCCCTCCCTCTGTGCTTACTGAGATTTCACAGGTGGTTTTTCTGCTTGGCTTAAGGCAATATCTATACAGATTGTATTAATTTAGTGAGAGCTGAATAGTCACAAGGTTGCCTATCCCACTGATATATTCTAATTCAGGATATAAACTTGTTTACCAGCTTTCTTTAGCACAGATATTACTTGAGGTAAGCCAACACTGTGAAAATTACTTATAAAACAAAAAAAAATTAGATCATTCTTAATTAAATCTCTCCACAGAGAGACCTCTCCACATCATAAATGAGAGCTCTTTTCTTTTCATTAAGGTGAATTTATTTCTTCATCAAAAAATTATCCTCTGCCAGGAAATTCAAACACTTTCACTTAGCTGAAAACCTTGAGGCTGAGTTCCAGCTCCTGGTTGTGGTTTGTTGTTGAGTCTAAAGTTTGCTTTAAGGTAATAGTGATTCTGGGAAAAAAATAATACTGTAAAAACACCAAGCTTGTTCTAAAATTAGACATTTGCTTGCCTAAGCTGTTGCATTATTCTGTTTTCATTTCGTTTACTTTGTTGTATCATAAAAATTTACTTCTCCTCACTTTTAGATGATAAGGTTGACTTTTTTAATTATTTATCTGCAGCAATGACATATTTCTGCGTCCCTATCAACCTCTAGCTGTGGTGGCATGGCTCAGGGACAGAAATGTTTATCTGAAATGTAATTGTTGGCTATTCTGGGGCTGCTTTTTCACCTAATCAGCTGGCATTTACTTTGTTTGTAACCCAAAGCCTCCTGATGTTACTTGAAATCTTCCTACTGCTTTTTAATGGACTTCAGATTTGCATTTTATTTTATGCTGAAAGAATAACACTGAAGTGTTTTTACTTTGAAATATGAAAAATTGTAAGAGGAGAATCAGAGGAAAAAACACCAGAAAAGCAAATGAACCTGCCTACTTACCATTATGTATTAGAATAAGGTAGAATAGAGCAGAATATTTCAATAGAATAGAAAAGAAGGGTTCTGTGCTAAAAGGATCCTTTTGTTTGTGCTTTTAAAAGCAGCTGTGCTCTGTTTCCTGATGCTTTTGATAATCAGGAACAACTAATATTAACCTGGCTGCCATTTTGTAACAGAACTGGACTCTGGAAGAGCACGTACATGTTGTGACCTGCAGCATTAATTGCAGCTTATTAAACAGAAAGGAAGATTTTTTTTTTTCCCTTAGTCACAGCTTTGAGTGTCCCATCAGTATCTGCTCACAAGAAACAGCAGATCATATTTTTCATTTCTTCACTGAGTGATCAGTTTCAAAGGTCTTTTTCTTCTTGCAAGAGATGCATCTGAAACTGGAAGCATCTTAATTTCCTGCAAGGAATGCCAGTCATGGGGCCCCTCATGGCATAGGGGAAGATGACACTCGACAGGATTGCTTTTATGATTTCGGGGGAATAGATTGCTTCAACCTCTTCTGTCTGTTTATTTATGCAGGTTGTAAATGCTTCAGGAGCAGAGTCCTGTGACTGTTTGAACCACCCTGGCTGTGAAATGAGAATATCCTAATGCTGACAAGTGTTCTGCTGTTACCTGCATCCCCAGAGCCTTCTCTGCAGCAGCCGTGAGTACTGCACTTCAGACAGAGCATCCCCCAGGCTGCAACACCTCCTGCAGCTCTCCTGGCAGGCAATCATCAGGTTTTGCTTCCACCTTTCTGCCACAGTTAAGGGGCCACAAAAACCGGTTCAGAATTCCCCCTTTGAGGAAAAGTACATAACATCATAAAGGACTGCTTTAAATGTGATTTCCCCTCTGTTCCTAATTCTGAATTAGAAGTCTGCTGGATTCGTAGTGAATTTGATGAGTTGCCTTTATCAATAATGTGTATCAGTTCCCAGATTATTTAAATTAAAAGTTGTTCCATTTAACAGCAGTTCACCCTTCTTTTGAGCCCCAATTAAAAGTAATACAGAGACCATAGCTCCCAAACATCCAAAATTACACGATCAAAATGAGAAATGAAGGATGTCTCTTTAAAACAGCCGATCCTAACTAATGTGTTTATTGATTATTCTGTAACTATTTATTGAAATATTGAGAAAATAAGGTGGTTTTTGTTTGGTTTGGTTTGTTTTTTTTTAGTTTGGTTTTTTTTCCTAGTTGATGTTTGCAAAACTGATAAAGTCTGAAGGGACAGATGTCTACATGCTGGCTAGACCAGAAAATAAGTGATGAGGTAATACAGCATGACTACTAGAACTAGTAACGAACTCAGTCAGCTAGGGGTTGTTGATTTTAAATAAATAATTTCTTTCAAGACCTTGTGGAAATTCAGTTTGCACCCAACAGAACCATACAGCCCTTTAGTTTCAAAACCGTCTTTAGAAGTGTTTAATCTCTCAAGCCTTCACATATTAAATCCTTAAACACGAGTACCAGTAAAAAACCCAAATAAATAATACCACATAACTCAGAAACATACAGCAGACATACCCTTTTAATGCATTTCATCCATATAATGGACTTATTTTGCCCATTATGGCATAAATATAATAGGTTAGGACAATTTGAAGGAAATGATTTCTTTATTTAATTTGACTTGAGTAGAATGATTGAAAAGAATACTCGATGAAAGATTTCTTCTGACTTGGTTTTTCAGAGTCCCCATTTTGGAGAATGGAAGAAGAGAAAAGGAGTTAATATGGCTCAGCATTTAGTATAATTTTGTAGGGTTTTTTGTTCTTACATGTTCAAATACCAAAGAGGTGAGTCATAAAAGAGAGCATTTTGTCCCCCATATTAAAAATGAAAGAAAATTACACTGTTATTGTTATGTGTAGAACTGTACTTCCACTCTTGATTAAGCCCACTCACTACAAATTACCCCAGCCTGAACAGGCAAGATTCAGTCAGTAATGGTGATGTGTTTCTCTTCTGGCCATTCAAAAATTTGGGTCTATGCTGGCACAAAAAATGGATACCTTTGAAAGGAGCCAACCCTTGATTCTGAAATATCACATGGAACTTTAAAAACTGTGTTTTAAAAAAAAAAACGTTTCATCTGCTGTTCATGAGTCAGACAAATGGGTACAGAGCTACCACATGAAGCTTCCTATAAATTCTCGATGGGAATGCTTTCCAGTTGATGGGTTCACAGGAAGAACATCCTCAGAGACCTGCTGTGAAGTCACCTTGCTATGACTCCATTTCTCGTCCCTCATTTCTAAAGGGTACAAAGTAATGCATAAAACTGCACATAAGAAACTGCACAAAGAAGGTTCCTGACATCTTCCAAGTGTGCCTTGAAAAAAAAACAACTAAACAAGAAAGTACCAGATATACACAAGGTTTACAAATGAAGAAGAAGAAAGGAAATTATCATCATGCAGTTCCTTCTGCTATAGCCAAGTCAGTCACTGTTTGAAGCAATCAGATAGGGTAACAGTATGTGATTAAGATGAAAGGCTATCTCTGAGCAGAAATAAATGCAAATCAATAAGCTGATGTAATGAGAGGTTTCAATAGCCACTTCTAATATTTAGCATAGGGTGGCATGATCCATTAGTGAATCACTTGACCAATGAGCAGCATCTTCATTTTTATGTTTATGCAAACTTCGCTCAGAACAAATGTCAGTAAGACAGTAAAGAATGAAATGTGTTGTTGATTGTTGTATTGCATATCCTGGCATATTGCAAATATTCTGGATTAGACTGGAAACTTCTGGGTTTAGTAATTTTTTTTCCACTTGGGAGTTTTGTCTGTGCCTCTGGTAGCTGGATGATGGATGCTTGAGCTCCCTCCTCCTCTGCTAACAGGCCGTGATGAGTCAGTCAAATTCAGCTGTTCAAGCAGAGTAGCTGATGTTTGTGGTCTGCCTAGGAAGGAATTGCTCTGCAGGTCTGCTGGTACCTCAGAAACAATCAGTTTGTTTGCTATCAGTAGTACCATCAGCCACTTGATAGCCAAAGTCCTCCGTTAAAGGAATGCCTCTGAATGGACTTCTTAGACTCTTCTTGTGAGAACAAGATCACAGAATCACAGCATGTGCTGAGCTGGAAGGGACCCACAAGGATCACTGAGTCCAACCCTTGGCTCTGCACATCCCCAAGAGTCCCCCTGTGCCCCAGAGGATCATCCAACCCTCCTGCAGCTCTGGCAGCCTTGGGGCTGTGCCCACTGCCCTGGGGAGCCTGGTCAGTGCCAACCACCCTCTGGGGGAAGAACCTTTTGCTGAGATCCAACCTAAACCTCCCTGACACAAGTTCAGGCCATTCCCTCAGGTCCTGTCTCTGGTCACCACAGAGGACTGATCAGTTAGAATAGAAAACCTCTCTTTGCTCTCTGTAGTGAAAAGAACTGCAGTGCAAATACGAATGTCACAAATTATAGCAAACCTTTGTGTGTGTGTGTGTGTGTCCCCAAATTTCACCAAGGAAATTGAGAATATTTCCTGTTTAATCTGTCTACAGCCATTTGCTGGGAGCCGTGCCTTATTATCAAGAAACAAAGAATTAACTTCCTTGCTGATAGGGATGTTTAGAAAATAAACCACCATTATTCATGGCTGTACTTCCAGTAAGACCAAACAGTCCCTTCTGAGATATGGGCAGGTGGAAATCTCAGCAGAAGGATGGGTGTTTGTTGTTATGGTTCCTGATGACCTTTCTTGGTTCCACTCTGCCCTGCTAGTGAATGCCTAGTGGCACACGGGTGTTTTTAACCTCCTGGGCTGATTCGTGGCTTGTTGCAAAACACCATTAATTTGTATTTAACTACCTAGGAATTTCCTCCTTCCACTGCATTGGCCAGTGTCCCAATTCAGGCAACTCATGCCACAGTTTGTGACTGTTTTATGAACTCCTTCGTGGCGAGGCATGAAGGTCAGAGTGGCGGTTATCGGAATGACAAAGCCGCGGGTGAGTTGTCTGCATTCTGCTGAGCCACATTTTTTTTTGTAATGCGAGGTGTTTCAACATATTTTAATGTGTATATTTTGAATATGACAGGACACGGCAAGTATTTTATCCGCCCACCTCAAGAATCAAGCAAACCCAGGATCCTGAGGCCAGATCTTCAAGGAGACACACTGCAACTTCCATTGCTTGCTTCAGGTACCTCCACTCGCCACCTGCACCCCAAAATGACAGAGCATGTGTTCCTACAAAATCTATTGCCCAGCTTGGGCAGAAACTTACTGTTTTGTCTTAACACCATCAAGCCAGGACCTTAAGGGGACGCAACAGCAAGCTTTAATTGCTAAATTTATATGAGCCTTCAAAAGCTTAAGCATTTGTGACATCCTTCATTGTGCTCTTAGTGCCATTTTGCTATGTACATCATCGCCTTCCACATTTTGTGATTGCATTTTCCACACGTAGGTGTAATTAATCCCTAAAGCAAAATTAGCCCTTATCAGTCTTAACTGTTTAAAGAAATGAGACTGCAAATTGTCCTTCACTTATATGTGATTTAGAATCACAGCCTCTCCGAAAATCTGCTGTAAAACCAAGTTAACAACCTCAAAAAAGACATGGAAATAATTCCTCGTTTCGTAAGGAGAATACTAAATAACGCCACTAAAAATACAAGAAGAAGTAGTAATGCTTAAGGAGTGACTCAGACTTTCCAAGACTATAATTTTTCATCTCTGTGTTTCTGCTGTCTGCCTATTGCTTGCTTCAGAACAGAGCAAGCCTCTGCCCAGCCTCCATCACCATCCTGGTGATGGACGTCTTGAAACTCCTCATTTCCATTCGTTTATTTTATTTTTGTCAGCCATATCATACTGAGAACAGCATGTATGCATCAAAAAAAATGTACAGTTTTGTCTGATGTAAATCCCACCTCCTCTAAATTTCCTTTCTTACCTTCACCAGGATATCTGCTTTTTCATTTGAGTAGCTCATTCATCTTGGATAGGTGGATCTTTGACAGAAGTTGCTCCTTGGGGGGGGTGGCAGGAACAACACTAATTCCAGAGGAGGAAGTTCTGAGGCACTGCTAATTTTGAAGAAATGGGAGGCAGTAACTCTAACCCTTCATGGGAGCGGGCACTGTCAATGTCTGTGACCTCAGAAGTCTTTTTTTGTCCCAAACAGTTATGGGCTGAACGACGTGGCATTTAACTGAAGGATTTTCACTGACAGTTTTATTTGACTGAGGTGCCCCAAATCTGATCCTGTATCAATAATTTCCATCTATAGTTATTTTGATTTACTACTTTTGTCTCCTAAATATAAAGACTTTTATATCACTGCTATTTCACTAAATGGAAAGATGACACTTGCTGTTATTATGTACGAAGAAGAAAAGGTTTCCAATGTCTTGCAGCAAGAACTGTGAATATAATAAAAATATACAGTAACTGTTACTGAAGGCTGCACAAGAAATTTAAGAGTAGATGAAAAAAGAGGAAGAGATATTGTTTTTATTTGCATTCTAGCAGCTTTGATGTCGCTACTGCGATGTCTGCCTGTTCATTTGCAGCAAGGTTGTTTGGAGCTGCAAAATTAGTGTTGAGTATGCTCTGGATTAATAACAGGAGGCTTTGAGGATTTGATTACTGCACACTTCATCTGCCAGCCAGCAACATACTTCCTCATCCAGAAGGGTTTTTCACATTTTTCTCCCACTGTTTGGAGTTTGGTAACCAGTGGGTGGATTGCAATTGTCACAGCACATGAGATGTCTTTTTATCTCTAGATATGTTAAACTATTGCTGCTGAATTTAAACCCATTGAACGTGAGCAGGGAATGCTGATTCCTTCATTCAAGTTGCAACTTGGGGCAAAAAAGGGTATTTATCTTCCTGATTCTTGGAGTATCCAGGAGCCCAGAGTTTTGCAACAAACACAAGCTCCTCGACACATTAAGAAGTGCTGAAGTCAGTGAGCCAAGTCGATGGCATCACCTCAGTTCTTCAGCCTTTGAACAGGCAGAGTGACACAGCCTCTAAGAAATACTCCCAGGGGGCTCCTGCACCTGCAGCTTTTGTTTTCAGCCATGTAAGGAGCTCAATCAAACCCCCCTCCATCGTGGTTGATTGGAAAACTCTTTGTGAGATGAAGAGCCACTGCCCTGATGAAGATGACATTAACCCCTCCTGTCCCTTCCCACAGCTCCTGCTCGGGTGTGTGACCTGTGAAAAGGCTGCTCCTTCCTGAGGAAGCAGTGACTCCCCAGCCAGGACACCACCCCACCCCAGAGAAGCCATAATTTCAGTTATTCTTGTACCAGGAGCACACAAAGGTGTCCAGGGCTGAGCTCCAGGCACACCCATCCTGCTAATGCCGATGCTTACCGTGCTCACAGCACAGAACGGGGCTGTGGCACCACGTGCTCTTCCAGCTCCTGTACAGGACCACTCTTTGATGCCTCTTGTCTGAAAAAAGAGATGAAAGTTTATGTATTTACTTTCCTTCTTTCTCCATCTCTGCAGCAACTGAAATGCTGCTCTCCCTCTCTTTGGCAGAGGGTGCACTCTACAAGCCTGCCTTTCCCTTCCTACCCTAACTACATTTTTACAAGCACTCTGAAACAGCTGTCTTGAGGTTTTTCTGTTCCTCTCTTTGTCTTGATGTACCTGATAATGGTGGGTTTTTTAGCTTCTACCTCCCAGACTGCAGGACCTTGGGGTACCAACTTCATTGCTTCTTTTCCAATGGAATTGCCCCCCATTTCAAGAGGGATGGGTGAAGAAATCTGGCTAGGAAAGAAGGGCATGGAGCAAGCTGTTTATAGTTTGAGATCTCCATCTATTTCTGGGCAGGGAAACGTAAAAGAAACTATTTTCCCCTGAATGTTAATGGGCAATAATGTAATCTGAGATGTTTTTATGTTTCATTGTTGTCTTAAAAAATAATTTATGGGAATTTATAGGTCTCAATCAGACCAAGTTGAGCATTTTTGATAAAATGCTCACTGTATGATAAAATGCCAAAATCTGACAACCATTTTGAGGCAGAAGGTCATCGTGTGGGGCTTTTGACTGTCTATGTAAGTGACTTGAAATAGTATTTGAAAGAATGGATTTATCTGGTCTGTATTTCCTCACTGGTGGATTAGGAGAGGCAAACTGTACCCATAGTACTCAAGGTCTGAAGGTAAGCAAAAACTGTAGTATGTTTGAGAATTTTAATTTTTAAGTAATTGTCTTGTGGCACCAGGAATAGTATAACTCAAAGCTGTGTCTCGATGGAAATGAATATAAGTTCTCCATCATTATTTCCCATGACAAATTCTGTAACGTTTAACATGTTGGTTTTATAATTTGACCTTGATTTTATATTTTGGCTTATTTTTATAGACGAGTTCTTCATAAAAATTCCTATTCAGGCCTGCTTGGTAGTCCCAGACACTGATGGATGAAAGAACTTAAGGTAACTTCAAGTTGTAACAGCGAAAGTACATGATTGGATAGGAAGAAGCTTTGACTCTCTGATCTTATCCATGATATCACTAATGCCTGATCTGGACGTGTTCTCCCCGTATTCCCCCAGTGGAGAAACTGTCCAAGGAACACCGTTAGCCCTGAGTGAGCCGGTATGTGCACGGGGTGTGTGTCCAGCGATGTGCTCATCTCCATCCCGGACAGTATTCCTGGGGGGGTACCCCTTCCCCAGCTCCCTGCGCGCTGGCACAGAGCGCAGCTGGGAAGAAGCACGTGGAGAGGGAAGAGATGAGGCTGCGGCTCAGGACACCCCCCGGGCTGTGACACGCCAGGCTGGAGCCTCCTCTGCCCCCGGCACGGCGCGGGGGAGGCTCGGCGGGGCAGCCCGGCCGGGCACGGGTGAGGTGCGGGCACGGGTGAGGTGCGGGCACGGGTGAGGTGCGGGCACGGGTGAGGTGCGGGCACGGGTGAGGTGCAGGGACGGGTGAGGTGCGGGCACGAGTGAGGTGAAGATAGGGACCGGCCCTGGGAGGCGGGCGGGGATGCGCAGGGAGGGCGGGCGGCGCCGGCCGGGCGGGGAGCGGGGCCGCTGTGGGCCGGCCGAGCTCCCGCAGCGCCTCCGTCCGCACCACGGAGCCGAGCGGGGCTGAGCGCCGGTCGGACCGGAGCGAGAGGGCCGGGCAGCACCGCGGCACTTGTGCCCGCCCCGCCCCGGGGCGGCAGCGCTGCAGGGCGGAGGGACCGCGGCTCCCCCGGCACCGCCGAGGGTCGGGCTGGGCGGCGCGGGAGCTGGGAAGGTGGGAATTGTGGGGAGGGAGGTGGGAATGTGGGGAGGGAGGTGCGGTGCCGAGCCGGGCTCCGCCTGAGGACTTTCCCGGCACTTTGCCGGTCGAGCGCTCCCGGCCGACAGAGATGCCCCTGGCTCCGGCGTGCGCGGTACCCGGGGTCGCTCAGTAACCGAGAGACTTCAGCGGCAGTTTGTAGTACGGGTTATTAACGCCTGTCTTTTTCTTTCTTTTTCTCTTCTCTCTCTCTCTTTTTTTTTTTTTTCCCCTGGCTGGGGGGGGGTTGGTTTTTTTTTTTTTTTTTTTTTTTTTCTGCCAGCAGAAATGTCCTGGGAGTAGAGATGGGAGATAAAGCGTAAAGCAACCCGTAGAGTGGGTTTCTGAATTAGGGAGCGTCTCAAAACCAAGTTTGAGCCTCGGCGAGGGCGCTGGGAAGTCGAAGGCTTCGGTGGTGGTTAGGTTAAGGCTTTGAAACAAGAAATTGTGAGAGGAGAATTGTTTGGAAGAGGTTAGGACATTGTTTTGAAAATAAGTGTTTAACAGTGAGAAGAGAAATGGAGTGTGATTATAATCTCTGAATGCTCCAGTTTGAGTATTTCACTTTTTACTGTGGCTGGGCTGACATAATACTGTCATTCTAGGAGTGTGTTGCAAAAGCGTTTGTTTAACGTAGGTTAACCACCAGAATGGTTTGTATGGTTTCTCTTACTGCATGTATGTGAGTGTTATGTCTTTTATACGTTATTTTGTGTATCTTACACGTGCAGAGACCCTGGAGATCCTGTAGGCTATATTGGCATTCTATAATGCATGCAGATAATTGTTTTACCCTGTGACCGATGCGCTTACGATGTGCTGCCATATCACATCACACAGAAAACCGGAAAATTAGATTTGTCCCACAGGCTAACATTATGGAATTTCTGCTTGAAATGCTATTTGAACAGTGGTATGCCTTTTACAGCGTTGTCTGTATTTGTTTTTAATATTGCAGATGCCTTTTGATTGCAAGACTGCTGAAATGCTTTGAGGGCTGCGCCTCCTCTCCTAACCATGAACAGTTCAAAATCACCAGGGCTGGCTGGATTTGGAGTCCTGAGAAACTCAACCTGCCACACGGAGAAAAAAATTTCCGTTTTCTTTTCGATAATCTTCATGACGGTGGGAATTTTGTCCAACAGTCTTGCCATAGCAATTCTCCTGAAGGCATACCAGAGATTTAGACAGAAATCAAAAGCCTCCTTTTTGCTTCTTGCCAGTGGCTTGGTCGTCACAGATCTCTTCGGCCACCTCATCAACGGAGCCATTGCGGTGTTTGTGTACGCGTCGGACAAAGACTGGATTCGATTTAACCAGTACAACATTCTTTGCAGTGTTTTTGGCATCTGCATGGTTTTCTTTGGTCTGTGCCCTCTCTTCCTGGGCAGCGTGATGGCTGTTGAACGGTGCATTGGAGTCACCAAGCCAATATTTCACTCCACAAAAATGACTTCTAGACATGTGAAAATGATGTTGACTATGGTATGTCTGTTTGCTGTTCTTATAGCTTTGCTGCCTATTCTTAGGTTTAGAGCCTACCAAATTCAAGCATCGAGGACCTGGTGCTTCTATAAAACAGAACATGTTGAGGACTTGGAAGACAGATTTTATCTCTTACTTTTTTCTTGCCTTGGGTTACTGGCCCTTGCTATTTCATTCTTGTGCAATGCTGTCACAGGAATTACCCTCTTAAGGGTCAAACTTAAAAGTCAACAGAGACAAGGCAGATCTCATCATTTTGAAATGATCATTCAGCTCTTGGCTATAATGTGTGTTTCTTGCATTTGCTGGAGTCCATTCCTGGTAAGAGCCTAATGTGTTTGCCAATGTTTAATGCACGTCACTGTATATAAAAGTTATACTTTTTTATCTCCAGGTTTTAAAGTGCTTTAGCTGTGCTAGCAGCTCCATTTGCTCGGTGACATCAATTTTAGAGCATATTGTCCGTAATGCATGTACCTGTGCATCTATAAAAAACTTGGTAATTATTCTCCACTTCTCAGCATAGGCAAAATACACTGAGTAAGCTGAATATACAGGGACTGTGAGCACTGTATTTCCAGTGCTGTGAAGCAGACAGTGCTAGCAGAATTGTGGCTAGAATAAATCTGAACACATACTGAGCTTGTCCACAAATTCAGTGAAATCTTGAAGTGGGAAGTTTTTTTAGTCTGTACTGTGGTTCCTATAACTTTTTTTTATTTATGGCAGCCTGTTTGTTGTTATTTTCAGGGTTTAATGCTACTTGTGAACGGTGTTATGGCAGATAACAGTTAATGGAGTGGAGGGCTTTGCTTTATAGAGTCATGCTGAGAAACAGTGGTTGGCAGTGGGTTAAAATCAGCGCTTGGTTTAGCCCTCAGCAAGCTGGATTTGTAATCTGGACAGTTGCCTGGCAAAGCTGCTGTGTGCAGTTGGTGTGCTCTCTCTGCCATCCCACTGTATCTGGGGATCTGCTGTCACTGCTGTGGCTCTCCCTAAGTGCTGCTCCTGTTAGGGCGTGCTCTGCCCGTGAGCAGAGCCAAAGGAACCTGGATTGTGATGCAGGAAAGAATTTGGCAGCTGCTGTTGTGTGATGGCATTATAAAGCTGGTATTAGCTGTAACTCTTTTTAGTGTAGTTAACCTGTCTGAAGAAAATGAGGTTTTTTTTTTAAATACTGATATTAGCCTCGCTGCAGCAGTTGGATGTATCTGGTAGGTAGCATTTAATTGATCCAGTATCACAGACTTCAAGGGGGAAAGTCTGGATATAAATGTGTGCATCACTGAAGTGCACAAACCCTCTTTCACTTCTGTCCACATCACAGAGCATTTTTCTAGTCTTGCTCTGCAGCATAGTTTAAATTCACGTGGGCTCCTGTCAGCGTGGTGGCTGGAGTGGAGAGAGCATAAACAAAGTTGTCAGGGCAGTGTAGCAAGTGAACTTCCTTCCAGTTACTTCAGACACCTCCTGAAGTTTGTCTGGGGCAAGCCACAGAGTGGTTTTTAAGGAGAGAGACTCAAATGATGACTTTACGTTCCGTGAGAAAGCAGCATTAGCCTCTGGTGACATTTATTTTCAGATATAATAATTGTTCTTAAAGGTAGGATTTAATTTGGTTTTTAAAAACCCTTTTTCGAAAAACCTTTTTTAGTTCAAAAGAGGTGCTTCAGTTGTTCAGCATAAGAAGGAACACTAAATTGCAACTGCTGTAGTGGTTTTTTCCACGTTGGTAAAATTTTTTTTAATGCCTTTTGATTTCTATTAATTGTAATATATATTAAATATATAGAAAAATGTAATTTTTAAACGAAAGTTTTTAATGAAAGCACTTCACTACTTTTGTTAAAGCATTTAACTTCATCTGAGTTGTAATTGAAGATGAATTATTATTCCAGGTGGAATTTTTTTTCAGTAATGTGGACAGATTTCTGTGAGAAAGGAAGAGTTAAAAAAAAAAAAAAAGGAAAAAAGTTAGTGTAAGGTAGAATTTAGTTCCTGAAACAAAGTTTTAAGGAAGTGAGCAATTAGTGTTTTAGCCAGAGAGTTCAGTAGTCTGGGAAGTGCAGTGGGATGGGGTCCTTTGTAGGTATTTCCTTTCTTAGCTCTTAGGATCGTAGAGTTTATACCAGTTAATTCCTTTATTTACCCAGTCTTTATTTTGATAGCATTCTGTTCACTGAATACAAACAGAATTATAAGTGTGGTGTTAATTTAGCAAGGTTTTTTGGAGTAAAAAGCAGTGGAATAAAGCTTTGTCAGGAATGTACTGCTCAAGTGCTGCACTGAAGTGATCCAGGGTTTATCAAAGTGTGTGGTTCATGATGAATTACTGATTCAAACGTACTTATCTGATAGATCCTCACCTCTCAGGGCCTTTAATTTGTGAAATGAATGGTTTGCCTTCTATAATACGATCAACATGTACTGAAGTATTTCCTGATGTAAATATGAGCAGGTGTTCGTAGGTGAAATTATCTGGAAAAGGACCTGAACACATGCTTGTTATTGGGTCATTTGCTTCTTTAATTTTTTCTTCTCAAAGCTCAGTCTAGAAGTCAGTGTTAGTCCCTGAATTGTGAATTTTAACTATGTTTGTTCTCCCAAAGAGGACACAGAACAGAATGTTTGGGAGAATCAATTGCCTCAATGTAAACCAAAGCAATTGGAAACCAAACAAACCTTTGGAAGAGAAAGTGGAGGAAGGCAGTGTGGTTTATGCCACATGTGGTGTGCAGATACAGGAGTTTGGACTCATTGTGTGATTTCCTGTCTGATGTGGGGGTTTGCTTTGTTTATTTTCCTTCTGTTTTCAATCTAGTCTGGTGTTACATCCACTGATGCATGTGCAGAATCAGGTCCACCCAGTACTGTAATCCAACCACAGACTGACTTCACTATTAGATTTCCAATTAATTTCATGTTTTTTTCCAAGTGGAGTTAATACTCAGACACTGCCACTGTCCTGTGATAAAATCACTTTTAGATGTCATTGGAGTCCCAGGACCCTGGATTGTCCTTTCTCGTGTCTGGTGTGGAACTGAATTTGACTTCTGCATCTGCTCAGTGGTGTGTGTGTAAATGCACAGATAGTTAACACTTAATATTACATATAATAATATATAGTAGTATAACCAATCACCACCTTTACCTTAAGATTACTGCAGATCTGTAGCATTTTTCAGAAGCAGAGCCCGTGGTGTGGTTTATGTGGAGCTCTGCCTGGAGCTGTTGGACAGGGACTTCCTTCTGATATTTTTTTTTCTTTTGATTTCTTTCCTGAAGCTCCATTTCATTTGTTTCTCAAAAATGAGCAGCTTTTTCAAGTTTCCTGCCACTGTGAGGGAATCTTTCCTTAATGAAGTATGAGAAGGAGGGGGGAAACATGGATCTCCTTTTGAGGAACTGAGAGCAGGAGGGAATTCAGAAAAAAAGGGCAACAAGTGAAATTCATGAGTTTTATAATAACATACATAGCCAATGATTTGCAGAGGCACATTTGTTCTGACAGTCCAAATAATTTAGCTTTGTGGAGGTTAATTGCAGGTAGATATGTTCTGAAGATATTAACATCTCTGCATAGTGTCATCTTTTCTCATCCTTGCTAGAGCCTTAGCCCTTTGCCAGGGGTATGTGAATTTTGCTGGATAAATTTGGTCCCTAGGGGCTGGATTCCCAGAGCAAGTAGCTGGGCTGGAGCATTTAGTGACGAGCACCTCTGATGAAATGGATTGTTATATAAAGCTGGTGTTTGGCTGTGACTTGACATCTGGCCTGTCATGAAACGCCTTGGTTTTGGAGCTGTGTTTGTGTGAGCAAATTCTGACTTCAGCACGTCATATTCTGTAGGGCTCAAGGGATAAACGTATTCTAAATTTTGGTTTTGGAGTAGCAAAGAGAACTGCCTGTAACTGTGGGCAGGAGGGATCTGTTTCAGAGGAGTAGGAACAAATTGTGATATGGAGAAATTTCTAATCTTTCTCATGTGTGGAACACAGTCTTAGCCTGAGAAAAATACTTTTACATTCACATTATTCTTGTTAAGATCTTTTTCCATGCAGTTATCTGATTCATTTCATTCCGGTTTTACCTCCCCTATACAGCAGAAAATAGCCACTTTCTTTTTTTTTTTTTTTTTTTGGAAAGAGCTCAGCTGTTTATTTCACATGATTAAATCAACTCTTATTTATTCAGTTGCATATTTTACCGCTTAGATTAATTTCTGTCAGTCCCTTCTCATGCAATCTCTTCCCTTTCCAATTTGTGTCACTAACTGTGCCTCTCTGAACTTGCTCTGACTTCTCCTTGTCCTCAGGTTGTCTCGTGCAGCGGGGCTTGGTGGCTGGTTTTCCTGCACCTAGGAAAATTGTTCAGCTTACAATTTACTGAGCCAGTAGGAGCTGCTGGAGCTGCTCCACCCCATCCCACCCTGCTTGCCCCACCAGCTGTTTTGGGTGCAGAGTCAGGCTCAGTTGATACGTGCTGATGGAGGTCACTTTGTGACAGGTTTTTCACTAAGTCAGTCCTAGCTGCATACAGTGTAAGGTATTTTGGTGTACAGGGCAGTCTGTGTACATCTCATTTGGGTGTTTTTGCATGTGTAGTCACGTCCACACATGCCCAGTGACGCTTTCCCAGGAGTTCATAGCCCTGTTACCCTTGAGGTCTCTCCCTCCGTTCTTGTTTTCCATCTTTTTTTTTAATAAGCTGTCAGTTTAAATTCCTGTTCTGTTACCTTTTATGTTTAGTGGGCATCAGGTATTAATGCATAATGGGCACCATGTGTTAATATTGCTGGTTGTATTGTCCCTACAACCAAAGAATTACTTAGAAATGAATCTCTCGTGACTACTGGTGGTTTCTCATGATCAGAAAGTGCAGCTGAGGAGAAGCAGAGAGGTGTCCCAAAATGCAGACCCACTCTCTGCCAGTGAGGGCCTTGTCACCTGTGCAGCACAGCCCCTCAGATCTCACTGATGGCTGCTCTGCAGAAGTGTGTT